AAATCCCTATTTTAAAATCCCCTTTCTCAAATCAGGCTGTTCTGAGATTCCTGTCAGAATGACGTAGTTCTGCACAGGCCCCTCCCAGAATAGTTGATTGACAAGTCCGTCTTACATTAGACCCGCCCTGAGTGAGCTGTCATCAGTCCTCCATTGTGTCAACTCCGGTGCAGGGGAAGACAAGAATGTCTCCGATTAAGCGATTGAGGTGTTCTGTTGTTGGATGTAATAATGAACATAGCAGTCGTCATTTACTCCCGACATCTGAGCCGCTGAAGACGCAGAGGATTAACGTTTTGAAGGGAATAGGCAGATCCCGATCGACCTAAATGTGTCTATGTTCGCACGAATCATTCGTGATCCAGCTTCATCTACAGTAGAAGTGAGTATATAAATGCGGCTAAAGTAAACAGTATGGCTCATCACCCCAAGGAAGAGAGGGGCGGGGGGGGCAGAGCTCATTAGCATTTAAAGCAACATGGACTAGAACGGCGTGCTGAAAACAGAGCAGATTTTGACTGGGTAAAAAGGGTGTTTATTTACACTACTATTGAGAAATTTTAACCAAAGCATGTTATAGACTTTTCATTAAGACCCTAAAGAATCATATCAACTTGTGGAAAATGAGCATCCGATGACCCCTTTAAAATACCACTCCTCATAACTGCACATTTAAAATCAAATATATCATAATTACAAAAGCTCCAAACTCTCCTGTCACATTGAAGTAAAAGAAGTGTTCAAACTCACTGCTTGAATTTGAAAATCACACCAGCAACAGCAGCAAGAACAGCTAAGCAGCTGACAAAACCAAACAGACCCCAACAGACGGTGCTGGATTCTGGAAGGAAGGATGGAGACAAGTAAAAAATGTCAAGTTCACACATCTGCAATGTTACTGTTATTCTGAAAAGGCAGACAAATGCTATAGCTGTTTATACAGACATGGGTTGTCACATTTTAGATTTATCCTGGATTATCACACACAGGATTGAAATTATGATGATACATGAAATTCGGTTAAAACAATCACAGTTTCACAGTTTTACACAAACAATATGCACTTATTGTAGACTTTTAATTTTTAAAAATAGTTTTATCTAAGTGTTGCATTCATACTTATATCTTACTGCCAAATGCATAAATGTAATTTCATAAACTGAAATTCAGCATTCTCAATTCAGTTCTGAGAAGCACACAACTTTTTTCATAGCATAAGAACTTCAAACAACATGTACCTTAAATTATAAAAACAAAATAGACTCACCAGTATGAACATTCACATACAGAGAACCTAATGAACTTCCATACTGGTTTGAAGCATTACAGATGTACAAGCCATTAAAGTCAGAGGACCGTTTTGGGACAGGAAGCTTGTTGCCTTCATAATAGAGAGTATTGTCTCTGTTAATAGAGATAGATGAAAGATCATTGAACATGTTCTGCTAGTACATAACAGTACACATGATGCTCCATAGTAAAATATCTGTAAAACACTGAAACAAAAATGGATAACATCTGGAAAATTCAACTAGCAAACACTGGCCGACACCTCAGCAACTTGGTGGAACACCCTAACATTGCATCTGTCTCTCTCTGAAACATAAAACCTTCAAGCAACTAAGCCTACAACCTTTGCACTTGGCAATACACAATAACAGTAAGTCGGCATGAAATTAAAACTGACCTTATTTATTTTCTTAATGCATGCTACTGGTCTTATTGTGAATGATTCAGCCATGCATTTCATTTTTAACCTTGCAATCTTTAATCAAAATGTCGTAACTTGTTCTCCCTGTGATATGACTCACTTGATATCTATGACGTATGCACATCCATGTTGCAGTTATGCCAGTCACATTCAGATCTTCCTCCATTCCAATATGCAGTGCTGACTCTTCACAAACCAATCAACAACCGATGGATAAAATGTCTTGTCCCTATGTTTTTTGTCTTGCTCCCTAAGCTGTTTCACATGGAAATATGTCCCAGTATAGTAGTAAAGTCTACAAAGAGATTGGCAGTTTAGCCAAAATATGCAAATGTAACTTGTCTTCTTTGTGCAGGTGTTAAAAAATGGTTAGTTTATAGATTAACAACTCCCACTGAGATAGATGCACTCTAAAAAAAGATGGTTCTTTAAATGTTCTTTACATGCAGTAATGGTTTTATTTAGAACCATAGCATTCTGAAGAACCCTTTCATGCTGAAATGGTTCTTTGTGTTAGGGTTTAGGGTTCTTTATTCCCGCCCTTTTGTTTTTCAAATCTGTAACTGACAAAGCACCTCATTACTGATTTTCTGGAGTTCAGTGATCCAACTACACAGACTGTCAACACACTCTCAACAGGTAAATGATTTCATTCTTAAA